AAAAAAATGGGTCGGCGGGTTATGCAAAACGAAAAATTAACTTTGCATGGCCTTATATATAATTTCAGCAACTTTTATTTTTTATAACTTATTAACGATTACAGTTTCTGGTTAACATTTCCAGTTTCTGGTTACAGCGTAACTACGTTACGCATCTATTAAAAAACCTTTTTCCTTTTTAGATGTCTTGGCGAATGTCTAAAATAGGAAATGATGATCGATCTGAATATATACAGCAAATTATTTCACGGATCCGATCGACCAATTAAATTTCAAGATCAGGTGTAACATTACGCGATAAGAAAATTCTAAAACGTTCGTTTTGACAAAAATCGCTTATAATTCAAACATTTGCATATGAAACTACCTTTCATGTTCTAATGAAAAAAATTCCTCGTAATATGTTACTATAAAATCACCTTTTATACCCACCCTACTTAATTGCTTACCCTAACCATAGAAAAAAAAAACAGTTTAATTTGGCTGTTTTAATTTCACGTTACACCTGATCTTATGATACGGCAACATCGATTATGCAATGTATAAATTATCTCTTTTGTTTATTATTTGTATTTTTTATTGATAGAAACATAAAAATTTAAAAATATTTTCTTTTTGGGTTTTATAATTTAATTGCACATGTAATGTATTGCACCCCATTTATTAACCAATAAAATTTCAAGATTCTTAAATGGTTACACAAGATTAAAATTGTTGATTTTTATTAAAAATAAACCAAAATTAATATGAAAAGGTAAAATCCGCACAGGGGTGATAACTTTCTTGATATTTAATTAGGATTTGTGACTATTTTTTTCGGTTCAGGTACTTATTTCGTAGAAATAATATTTCACAGACGAAACTTATTTCACCGACAATAATTCTGACCATTGTCGTTAGAGTAAGGCTAGAATTAGAGTTAAGGTTTGTGGAATTTATAAAAAAAAAATTTTTATGAAATGTGCTTCAGTGAAATAAACTATCGGCGAAATAAACTTGTCTGCGAAATAATTGTAGGTAAAATAAAATTGTCTGCGAAATAATTGTCGGTGAAATAAACATGTCGATGAATTTTGTCGGTAAATGGTATGTCTACGAAATGAGTGTTGGTGAAGTGATACGTATCCCTATTGCTATTGTTTAGGTGGGATTTACATTAATAACGTAACTATTTCTGCTCGGGTTTCACCTTGTCGTAAAATATTTGTCGCAGATCATAATGAAATGAAGGGTTCTATTTAACCCCCTGAAACCATTTATACTTGATTATTATAAAATCTACACCTAAACCCTAATCCTACTCCAAAAAAAGTTACCCCAAAAATTTATATTTTTCGATAGCTTGTTTGTTTTACACTATCCCTCATTTCATTTTAATTTGATTTCATTTTAATCTTTCACAATAATTACAGCAAAAAAAGAAGTACCTCAAAAGAAATGTTTAAAATATGTTTATTTCCAAATTAATTTCTTTTTCTGAATAGAAAAAGAATTGAAAACCATCATTACGCATTTGTAACAAGATTCAGAATTACAGTCAAAAGAGCTTAATCATAAAAATTTAAAAAGTTTTTTAAAGAGATAACATCTAAGCCATGCGAATTGGAAGGGTACCTAACAGTATTACAATCATTGTGATTAGGGAGTCATAAAAAATCGGAAAAAGGTATTGATATTGATAAAACTATTTAAAAAAAAAAAAAAAAGATTTATCATAAACTGAAAACAAGTAGGTTAAAAAAACGTATTTGGTATGATCGTAATGATTTGCAATACACAGCATCTTATTGTTAAATTTCCTTAAATTAAAGAGGTGTTACATAGTGTCCAGTTTTGGATATGACAATCCAATCAATTTTTAATCATCGTATATAAAAATTTTAACTTAATAAAAATAAAATTAACATATGAATGAAAAACCTTCGTTAATAAATATATGCTTATAAAATATTTATTGTGAAAAGCATATAAATTTCATGCATATCATATATCATAAATATCAAAAGGTAAGTCCAATTATTCCATAAAATATTGTAAACATCTCTTTCTCATTTTTATGTTATGATTATACTTAGGCCCACTGGTCAATGTTACCAATGAGCGAGGTTTTGATTTAATCTAATTGGATCCTCCATCGTGAGATACATATCTTGTATCCCAACGATAGGTATCTCAACGATAGGTATCCCAACGATAGGAGGAGGGGTGGGAATGATTGTTGGAGGAGTGGGAGGAGTGGGAGGAGTGGGCGGAGCGGGTGGGATTATAGACTTTTCTCGCTTTCCCTTCTGATTTCTCTTCCTTTTTACATTGTCAGGCCGGTAGGCCTTGAACAATGTGCGCTTCTGTGGACGGAATCGATAGTCTAGGATAGAATAAAAATTTAGATATTATATGTTAACAGATCATAATCTATTTTAGTTAAAATTATTACATTTACTTACTTGGGAACTGCAATTGATGCAGGGCCTCAGCTTCATGGAAAAGCTCCTCATATCGGGAGCGGACGCAGGCCGGTGCCTGCGCCCAAAGTTGCGATGCTAGTGTGCAAACAGATGGCATATTTAATCTGATGCCTTCTTGACGAAGCGCCTAATTAAAAATTATCATACATATTAGATTAATATAATTTTTTTTTTTTTTAGATAAAATCTTGAAAAAATATATATTTGACTTACAAGCAGCATCGCATTTTTGAAGAGAAAGAAACTATTGGGTACCCTCTTAGGTGGCTGGGAATTGCCACCGTTTTCGTTTTTATGTGTAAAGGACTCAGTTGATTTTGTTGAAATCAACTGAGTTAATTCAAACGCACAATTATAGACCAAACTTAAAATGGAAAGGTCTATATCATATGTGGAAAGGTGAATTTCTGTAGTCGTCATATTTTTTTGAATCTGAAGAAACTTAAGTGTTTGAGTGTTTGTGTGTGAGGGTTTATATAATTTTGATTAAATTATAAAATGTATTTTTGGATATTAAAGAGTGAAATGAAATAAGGAGAGAAATAGGCACTTCTTTTTTCTTGACACTGAAGTGGAAATTATTGAATGTTTTGTATGAAGGTTAGATCATGTTTACACGTCAGCTAAAACTTTGCAAAAATATTTATTTATTTATTTTTAATAACATTATGCTGCTTGTTATATGCATTGTACATTGATCGTAACATACACAAACATGCATTACTATATGAGCTATTTTAAAACCATATATTATCCTGGCGATAATTGTGTACAAAGGAAATGATTATATTAACAAAACTGTGCATAAAGAACGATTATAAAGATTAATAGAATTCATCGATAATAAAATATTATAGTTCTTTTCCAACAATCTATTTTATGATATTCTGTTGTTGAATTATAAGAGAAACAGGTAATGACGAATTCTGATGAATGGATGAATTTCGGGAAAATTGATCTATTCACATGCTGAATTTTATATTGGTCACAAGTGCAAATTTGGATTTTTTTTTTTTAGTTATTCAGTTTGTTGATTGCATGATTGATTGTATGAAAAATTAAAATTAAATTAAAACCACAAAAAAAAAAAACGCATTTACATAGGTATATATTACTAAATTATGTATGTGTAACAAGTTTAAGCAATCGGATAATCTCTCCGATCCTGGATATACCGTATTTGTCGGAAAAATGAGCTTTCGAAAATTTCATTTTCTTAAAGATTCGGAAGATGGTCTTCATAATAATATTTTAAGATAACTTGAACATCAAAAGTCCCGGCGTTACCACCAATCGAAAATGAAGTCACATGATATTCTGATCTGAAAATTCACCGGAAGTTTTGAATTCAAAATTTTTTTCAAACATTATTTTTCGTGCTTTTATTTTTTATGAAAGGGGATCTTAATTATTTTCCAAGCGACGAAATCAATACTATTAGATTAGAGTAAATATAGTAATAGTTAAACATATTCTAAAGATAAGCTTGATTACTAAATAATAATTGCGAACAAATTTAAAATGAATAGTAAACCATGAATTAAATTGTATAAATTTTCGAATATACAAAATCTATACTTTCCAAACTCAATAGTATGAATTTAAACAAATAAATAATTCAAAGTTATAAAAATTTAGAGTTCAAAAATATAATCACGAGTTAAATAATGAACTTCATTATAACGTGAGTGAGTTTATTGTTGTTTATCGCGTGTTTTTGTATTTCTACACATAAATCTACCTTTATTTTTTTGTCAAAATATGAATAAAAAAATCGTATGCAATTAACTTATAATGAAACGACAGTTTTTATATCAAAAACTTTTAAAGTTTATTATAGAAGTAATTTACTATGTTTCTATGTTGAACTCTAAGAAATATTTAAAAATTCATTATAGAGTTGATTCATTATAAAAAATATTCTTTAAAGAGATGAAATTGCATACATTAGGTGCATCAAGATAAAATGAGATCAGGTGATCGGATTCAGTGATGGGACTACGGAGGTTAAAAAATAATGATACTTAATTGTCACATTTAATGATTTATTAAGGAGTAAAAAAATAATGATACTTAATTGTCACAT